TACTGTTTTGATTATGGTAGCTTTGTAGTATAGTTTGAAGACAGAGAGTGTGATACCTCCAGCTTTATTCTTCTTTCTAAAGATTGTTTTGACTGTGTGAGTCTTCTGTGTTTCTATACAAATTTTGTAATTATTTGTTCCAGTTCTGTGAAAAAATGCCATTGGTGTTTTGACAGGGATTGCATTGAATCTGTATACTTTTGATAGTATGGTCGTTTCAACAATATTGATTCTCCCAACCCATGAGCATGGTATCTCTTTCCATTTCTTTGAATTATCTTCAACTTCTTTCAACAATGTCTGCAAACAGTGACTTCCTTTCCAATTTGGATAACTATTATCTATTTTTCTCGTCTAATTGCTGTAGCTAGGACTTCCAATACTATATTGAATAAAAGTGGCAAGAGTATGCACCCTTGTTCCTGATCTTAGGGGAAATGCTTTCAGTTTTTCACTGATGCTGGCTGTAGGTTTGTCACATATGGCCTTTGTTATGTTAAAGTACATTCCCTCTATCTTTTGTTGAGAGTTTTATCATGAATGAATATTGAATTTTGTCAAAAGCTTTTTCTGCATCCATTGAGATGATTTTTTTTCTTTAGTTTTTTAATATGGTTTATCACATTGATTGATTTGCAAATATTGAACCAGCCTTTCATCCCTGGAACAAATCCTACAAATTGTTCTCTCCCTTGAAGGAATAGTTTATGAGGTCAGTGTTTGGTATTTGTTCCCAGCCCAGCAGGGCTTCTCCTGTGTTATTCACAGTTCTCTCCTGCAAACTCTAGTCTGTATCTCAGCTCTCCCCTCAGTTGCCTTTTCCTACATCATTTACTACTTTGAGAAGCACACTTAGGTTTGAACGTCTCCAAATTCTGTTGCAACTAAAGTCAGTTCCTTTGGGAAGAGATTAGAAGCTATCTGTTATGACCTGCTTTCCTCTTCAGGCAAAACCACTGAGTCAGGTCTCTGGAGCTGGGTTGGTGACAATGGCAAGCTTCCTTGAGTGACATTCTTGCTCCAGGACGTGAGCACTTGGTGGGAGAGCAGCAGCCTTAGGCCTTCTTAGCTTGCCACATCTGGGGTGGAACCACTAGGACAGGAGTGTTAAGGGCCCCATTATTCTCAATGTGCCGCACACAACGGAGAGCTGTCATTCTGCAAGTGGGGGTTGGGTGGAAGAAAGGAGCCCCACCTTTCAGTCTTACTCCTCCCAGATTTAGCTTTAGTAACAGGCAGCTGGAGGCAAGATGAGAAAAGCTAAAGTCCTGCTCCTTCTGGAAAGAAAGCCCTTTGGCTAGTGGCTGGAGGGAGCGTGAACTATTCTGGCTGAAGCAGTGTGGAGTGGGGTCTTGCTGAGTTGAGAGGAAGTGGGTACATAGTGGTCTGTTTAAATACCACAGACTCTCTTTTACCAGATTTTCATAGATTTTCTTGAAGTTTTTTCACTTGCTGTCTACCCTTGGGACGACTTCCAGAGGCTTTAAATGCTTGTTTTAATAATTTTCACCACTTTCACTGGAGAGCAGATAAGCAGAGCTCCTCACACTGTTTATGCTGGAATTCAGTCCTTTCTTCCATGGGTTTTTAACAAGTGTTAAGTGATAACGGGTTTAGGCTCAAAAAAAGGTTTGAGAATGCTCTTTGATGTTCCCATAGGATCATCTACTTATTCTTTTTTTTAATCACCCATTATATTTTATTGTAATTTCTATTGTGATATATTTCTTCTGCTAGAGTAGGGTCTTCTAAAACCATTTCACTATATTCCACAAGAAGAAATACACTTTATATCCTATTTAGGACACACATACACACATATATATACATACACATATACACACACATTATATATATAACTTTTCAGATAGTTTCACCTAACAGCACCTACTGTTTCTATGTATGATGTATTATGATACTTTCTAGTCTATCTTACTTAAGCATTAAAAATGCTAAATTGCTATCTATTTAATTGATTTTACCGTGTGCAGTTTGAAAAACACTCTAGACTAACACTCCTTGAGACAAGGGCCTCTGCTTGGGATTGACATTTTATCACTAATTTCTGGCACAGTGCCCAGCACACAGTAGGCAGTTAATGAATGTTTATTGAATGATCATGTGAATGCTGTACTTCCCAGGGTCTTTAACAAGTCACTGTGCACTGACTTGCTGTTTGAGAGGTTATAGCATACAGTTAGAAACCTTACTTGATCCCTGAACCCTCTGATTGTAAAGTCCCTACAGATATCTCAGAACTATTGGGAGATGTTGTTTTAAATGGTTAAGTTTATGGCTTGTAAATTTCTTTTTCCATTGAAAATGATGGGTAAAACCCACGTAAACGTTTTATACTTTCGTAGGATCTTCCTCACCAAATGCTTAGAGGAGGAAATCTATACTATAAGGAAGGAGGCACAGAAGCAGAGGAAAATGTAGGCAAAAGTAATTATGTGGAACTATTTATTCTCAAGTCTTAGCTTTAATTAGCCAAGGGTTACAATTATGCTTCTTAAACTAGTGGAAAATTTTCGAGGTCTTTACCCACAGTTAGTAAGCAAAGGGACTCATACTCTTTCTTTGATTTTTTTTTTTTTTGAGATCTTATCCAAAAAAATGTAATGAAACCTTCTGAGGATTGCCAGACCAAATACAGTTCTTGGGGTGTGACAAGGAATGATCAGTAGCACTTTATTAATATTTAGGCTGGGTACCTATATACATAATCAAGCTGTTACTTGAGATTACCTTGCCCCTAAAATGAGTGGTCTTGAAGATGAGGTAGGGGAGATTAAGAGAAAGACCAGGATCCCTGTGACAGGAAAAGGAACATCTGTTAAAGGAAGGGTTTAAAGAAAAATTGGCCCATGAAATTAATGCCAGAGGCTGTATGGTACTGTTAGAATATCCTGCAGTCTAAGTTGGGATGAAAACTCTTTAAGAACAAACAAACCCAGCAACCAAAAAACCTTCATATCTTACATGCGAGAGGAGATCTCCCCTATGAAATTTTTAGTTGACATTGGAAATGCATAATATCTTGAGGGTAGAGTTAGAGGGAGACTCAACAAAAACTTTCGTATTTAATTTCCTGGTGGTTGAGGAGTTCACATACTAGACTTTGAAGCAGATAATACCTCATAATACAACCAACAGGAATTATCCTCTGTGTCCAGAGGAAGCAAGCATCTGGCTGTCTGAATTTATGAAATTGTAGCTCAGGGAACTGATTAATTTTATTATACAGGGCGTGAGGACTGCAGCTGCTGCCAGATAATAGTTAAGATCCATTCCTGCCGTTTTCACTCTGCTCCTGCTGTTTCTGACCCTTGTGCTCAAGAGTGTCTAGAGTAGGTTCGAGTTTTGTTGAGCCAAAGTTGTTCTGTCACCATGGCCTTTTTGAATAGACTTTTTTTTTTTAAGAACAGTTTTAGGTTCACAGCAAAATTGAGTGGAAAGTACAGACTTCCCATGTGTTTCCTTCCCTTACATATACACAACCTCTCCCATTATCAACATCCCATACCACAGTAGTATATTTGTTAGAATTAGCAAACATTGGCACCTCATCATCATCCGAAGTCCATCATTTACTTTAGAGTACACTCCTGGTGTGGTACATTCTGTGGGTTTGGAAAAACGTATAATGACATATATCCACCATTAGAGTATCATACAGAGTGGTTTCACTGTACTAAAAATTTTCTCTGCCCTGCCTATTCATCCTCCCTCTCTTTAATCCCTGTGAGCCTTTTTTTTAACTACCCAAGGGGAACCAGTGCTGTTATAATTTCCACTGCTGTGTTGCACTGTTGCACTGTGCTTTGACCATAATTAGTTCATAGAATTTTTACTTACGTAAAGACTGCTAATATCTTCCCTTTACTCCTTTTCTCCCTTCCTTTCCCCAAATAATGACAAGTCAGTGACCATATTGTATAACAGAGATATTCTTTCATTTCCTGAGGCTTCCTTCATGGTCTGCTAATTGGAGATATTTCTGGACAAATGATAAAATCTGATAATACAGCCCTAAGTAGTAAGGTTTTGCTTTAGACTCATAGAGCTAAAGGAAATTTTTAAATGATGCCTGCTCTGTTTACAGTCTGTGGTGATCTCTTCCACAGATCTCAGATACAGAAATGACATAATCTTCCTGGGTAGCCTGAACTAAATAAAAGAGCTATATAATTCTTGAGTACCTTAATACATATGCTGATCATTTCCTCTTTGCTGCACCCCTCTTTGAAGAATCTGCAGACTTGAGTCCCTGTCAAACAGCAATTTTTGTGGGATGAGCAGCTGACCCAATAGAAAACAATGTAGAGACTCCATTGGCTAGATTGAGCCAATTAAATTCTCCTGAGAATGGGGACCTTGAGATTCTGAGGAAATTAGATGATGATGAATCCTTGGCTGAAGGATCATATAGAGTTGATCCGAACTACACCATAAGAGTCACATGCAAGTCAGAGGGAACAAGAAAGCAGTGGAAGCTAGTCTACAGCAAGAAGCTGTAGGGTGGAGCAGGTTGTGGCGACCCATGAGAGATGGTGAGGGGAGCTTCTAGTTGTGGTTCTCATTTGGTGCACCTAAACTTTGTTTTCTTTCCTTGGGTATCCATGAGATCTTTTGTCTTGCAGCCTTTTCGCAACACCCCCACTCCTCCTCCATTTGACTTGAGCTAGTTGTAAGTTTCTGTTCTACAACTGAGATATAGTGCCAGTAATCTAGTATAAGAGAGTCTTGGGTAAAGTCTTGAAGACTCTTTGGGTTGTGTGACTTACAAAAAGATAATCAAGGTCTTGTTATCAGTGCCAAATAGGTGTAGGTAGCCCTTAGTTAGTCAATGTTTTCTTCGCCTGCAGGTATTTATTAATTAATTCACCACCCTTCCCTTTTCTCGGCTAAAGAGTGCCTATATTATATCTCAAAAAAGAAAAAAAAAGTTTTCATCCTTATTCATCACGTTCTTCTTCAATTCCTTCATATAACCTTAGGTAGAATACTGGACTGGGTGCCAGGAGACCTGGATTCTGCTCTAGCTGGGACTCCAAGCAGATGGATAATCTAAGGAAGGTACTTCGTCCCTCTTGCCCCTGTTACCTCTTCACTGAAGTGAAAGGATTGGGCTGGATCACTGATTTCCGACTTAAAGCTCTTGCATTCCTTAAAGGTAACATCAACAGGTTCCGGGGATTAGGATGTGGGCATACATTTTGGGATGGCAGGGGGCACCATATACCTACTATAGATGAGATGACATATTTGAATCATTTTAAAAACTTTTTGTTCCATATGATATTCTTGATAAGGCATTAATGAAGAGGGTCAAGAGATCAAACTACTTACCAGGCATTGGCCATAGAGGAAATAAATAATACCTTTACCTAATTCATTTCTACAAACCCTGTCACTAAGTGAGAAGCTAGTGAAGAAAAAACATTTCTGTTAATTTTAATGGGAAGTTTTATGATGTGTTCCAGCCTAACCCAAGATACCCAGACATTTTCCACAAATAGAAAAGGGCATCATTGAGCAATGAAAACATTTCTTATGAGGTAACTAATAATCTGAAAATAAATAACTACAGTTTGTACATAAAACATAAAAAAATGGTCTTTTATTGCCTCGATAAAGAAGAAAGAGAAGGCTTGACAGGCCTTGGTGGAAGTCTGAAATATGGCAGGGCTGCTTTCCCTCTGGGGACACCAGGGGAGAGTCTGGTCCTGGCTTCTAGTGGCTGCGTCAGTCCACTCTCTGCCTGCCTTCACGTGGCCTCTGCTGTGCGCTTGCCTCAGACTCCCTTTCCCTGTCTCATGAGGGCCCATCTGATTACTTCTATGGCTTACTTTGATAATCCGTTATAAGTACTTTCCTTCATGATCCTTAATGTAATCACGTGTTTTGACATGGAAGATGAATATGAATTCATTCACTCAAGGTAATAATCACAGGTCCCAGGGATTGGGACGTGGACTTACATTTGAGGGGCTATCACTTAGCCTACTACAGATGAAGTGGCATGTCGGAACTACTTCTTAAATCTTCTTATTCTGTGATATTCTTGACAAGAGACTGCTATGTTGAGTAACTTAATGTTCTTCATCTGAAATCAGAATGTCAAAATACTATCTTACAGTGATTGACTTGTGTGCTGTGGGCTGAAAAGGCCATATGATGAGAGGGAGCAAAAGGGAGTCATTGTCCAAAAAGTCGTGTATCTTTTTAAGAGCCATCATGGCAAGAAGTCATCCCCTGAACTTCGTGTTTGCCTGCCCCACTTCATCCTAAGGCTGGCTTCTTTGTTGTGGGATGGCTTCCGGCAACAACTAGAGCTCCTGTGTTCTTCTTCACATCTGACAGGAGAATCTTTTTCTTGTAGCTCCTGGGTGAGAGAGAGTGTTCTAACATGGGTGAGGGAGTGACATTTGGGGGCAGATAGTCATTTGTCCTTGGGGACTACCCTGGGAATCATAGGATGTTTAGCAGCATCCCTGGCCTCTCCTGGATGTCCGTAGCATACTCCTGACAACCAAAAATGTTTTCAAACATTGCAGAGGTCCTGGTGGGTCACGATTGTCCCTGATTGAGAAGCACCGCTTAACCCAGTGAGAGCTCATTCTTGTCTCACCAGAATCTACTGGCTAGGAAATTTCAGGTCTTGTTAGGATGGAGGGATGTAGGAAGTGAGTGCTGGGGAAGTCGCTGCAGCTGCTCACCCCGTCTGAAATTCTAATGAGGCTCAAAATTGGTCCGATGTAACAAGCAAATGAAATTGTTTCTAGACCCCTGTTGGTATATTTTAACATTATGGTCTTTTATACTCACAGCTTAAAACCCAGTTTTATGCTTTTGTTATTTTTAATTCTATGGGTCTGTGAATCACATGTTAATTTTTTTTTCTGCTTCACTTATGTCAACTAGTCAGTTGCTCTTTATCTTAGAATTTGTCCCTGTATAACCTCATTCTTTTTCGACACAACTGTCCCCTGAGGTTTTCACATTCAGTTGGATTTACTTTCCTCTGACACTGCCCTGGGTGCCCCTTGCCATGGGGCATTAGCAAGGCCACCATGTAGTGCACACTGTGCACTTAGCATAGCCATGTGTACACTGGAGAACTAGAATTGGAGTTTCCCTAAAGCATCATTTTTTTTCTATGAAGCAGTTGAAATAGAACACAGACACATTTGATATTTTATGATTTCCAAATTAAAGCTGCAATTTTATAGGCATCAGATGATTGATATTTGGGGGCTGTGTGTTATTTCGTCCTTGACTGTGCCATGTAGAGGATCTCTTCTCTGTTTTTGTGTGAGTGCTCTGGCTGTAACAGAAACTGGCTAGCACTGGGTGAGCACGTGCAGAGAGACTGGCAGTAAATACGAGCTGCTGCTTTTTCATCACAACTAAGGCGCAGTAGAGGTTACGCGTACAATGGCTCATAAGTAGAGGACCCCCATGAGACCAATAAAATATAACGAAACTAAATGATCTACAGACTAGAATTTCTGTGAATTGTCCAAGTGAGTCTGTGTCAGGGTTTTGGTAACTGGCATTACTAAGAGCTACATGAAAGCCTCGAAGGACTCCAGAAAGAACCCTATTTTTGCCATGGCTTTAGTTGTATTGTGTGTGCGTACATCGTAGCAGATGCAGTCAGTTCCACGTTGACATTGGTTATAATATCCTGCAAGTTGTCTTTCCCTGTGTATTTTCTTCTTTATTCTGTTTTACAGGTAGATCGTTTGGCCTCCAGCTTTGCTGGTCTAGAACGTCTATACTCATTTTAAGCTCCTTGAGGGGAGTGGGACTGCTGTCATCATCTTTAAATGAATTTGAAATAAACTCCCCAACCTTAGTATTGTGCCTTGTGTGCTTAAAAATTTGAGTGAATGACTTGACACTGCATATATCCTTTCCAGACCTCTTAGAACTACTGTAGGTTCTCCCCTCGAGTTTTTCTCTGCTTCGTGGAACACAGGTAGGGGAGATACCTAGAAATAGCAGTATTCACCGAGGTAACTGAAGCCGGATAGGCGGGTGAGACGATACTGACGGTACCAAGATTCATTTTACTGGTTATTAAAGCAAAAACGCGGGGAGCTGTTTCTTTTTCAGGAGGTCTTGGCACGGGCCTTAGTTTTAAACAGGAAAGAGACACAGCCCGTTAGACTGAAATGATTTGAAGTCCATCCCTCTGCAGTTACATTTTTCTGAAGCCAAAGTAAACGGCTGGAGGTGGGTATACAGCTAGCCTGTTTTCAGTAAACAGACCAAATTGTGCCTTGGAACTATTTCAGTAGGTGGTGCTCTTGTGCCATAATATGACAAAGGTTTTAGAAAGTTTCTAAGACCGTGGTGACTAGTTCTAGGGCCTGTGTCCCTGTTGACCCCCTTGAGGGACTGCCATCTGTACCACTTGGGTAGCATTGTGTGGGTGGTTTTGGTGAGTTTTTTTTGTCTGGAAAGAAGGCAAATTCAGGTCTTTACCTTCTCTAGCTTGCCTGAGCTCTGCTTTCCAGGGGAACCTAAATGAGAAGTTTGCTAACTTAAAAAAAAAAAAAGTATGGCTGTAGTCTTTATCCAGACAATTACGACGTGTGTTGTATGTTATCAATTTTCTGAGGCCGTTTTTTTTTTCTATTGGAAATCATCTGTGATCCTCCAAAATGAAATTCCTTTGTAGATACTCGGGCTATCATTCTTATTTCTTTGTGTTTTCAGGCAGGATGCAATAGGATGAAATAATATGTGATAGAAAAATAAGTAAGTGATGAAGGAATATGGATGAAAAAAATTGAGTTCAAATAGCAGCTAATAATAACTGTAGCTGACAGTGAACCCTGTTGGCATCAGCTCCTCGCCTCACTTCTGCTGTAGAATGAGTCCGTTGGTCCGAAGTTAGCTGTACCATGATGGAGAACACGGTGTCCTAGAAAGTCCACGTTTGGTGCTGCTGGCAGAAGTGTGGTGGGCACGGAAGAGAAATTTAAATCCAGACCAAGTATCATTCCAGGGAGGACAAATCTCTTGTTGCTTGAGGTTGCTGGGAACATTTGGGGTTCTGCTTTTTCAGGAAGTCTCTTGGGGTTGTGTCTAAAATGAAAAATACTTGCTTCCCCTTGTCTCCACCAACTGTTAAGGAAGCGGCGGCATGCCCGTGGACTTCTGCATCAGCCTGGTGTGCCGGTCTGAGCTGCTTCATTCCGTGCTGTCGCCACGGCCCATCAGGTCTCAGAGAGCTCGGCTGGGTCCCGCTGCAGGGCTGGTGGCTAGCCTCTTGAACCTGCGACCTGTCAGACCCAGTGACGTTCAGGGTGCTCCTTGTAGCTTTTGAGATTTTCTTTTTACAATTAATATTTCAGTCCATGTGGATTTAAAAATTGATTTTACTTATCTATTTATTTCAATTATCTTTTTCAGTATTTAGAATGTACTTTTAATATGAGAACTTACGTATTTCTTGAACATTCCTAGCTTTTATCATCTCTTTAAATACTGCTTCTCTTCCGTTCTCTTCACTTTCGTTTGCTGTGTCACCTCCTAGATGGTTTGGAACTGTCCTTCATGTTTCTTGACTGCTCTCTCGTAATCTTCTTTTTCTGGGCTGTATTCTGAGGGAATTCTTTGATATTATCTTCAAATTTAACAGTTCTTTCCTCGGTTCTGTCTAGTCTAAAGTGTCTTGTATACTGAGTTTTTCATTGTAATGACTATATTCATCACTTACATAATTTTCACTTGATTCTTTTTTTAACCGTCTATTGTTTTAGTTCTGCTTTTTGCTGTATAATTTCTTATTTTTTATTTGGCTTTGTTTCATCTTAAATATCTTTAAATATAATTTGATTTTTTAGCAGAAGTATAATTGACTTACAATGTTATATTAGTTTCAGGTGTACAACATAGTGAACATGTTATTTTTGTACATTACAAAATGATAACCACAGTAAGTCTAGTTACCACCCATCACCATCCAGAGTTACTACAGTATTTTTGACTATACTCGCTATGCTGTACATCACATTCCCATGACTTATTTATCTTATAAATGGAAGTTTGTAGTACTTCTT